GTACGGCTGAACGGCAGGTTAATTTTAGATCAATAACAAGTAACTGATAATGGTATATTAGTATAATAAAGATAATTATTATATTATTTTGTCTTGCTAATTCCTTATATCACTGTTCAGTTGGACTTGTACTTGTCTTATTACGACATTATATTCTGTTACGTTACGATAGTGTGCTTTCCTAAATAATTATTAATTACGTTTTTTAAAAATATGTCAAATAAACGACAGTTGACGTTGGTCGATTTCATGTCATCGAGATCAAAAAAAACTACAAATGTCCAGACCAGTGAGTATTACTAAAATATTTAATACATTTTTGAAACAAAAGTTTTTTTCCTACCATTCTTACTAAATAATTTTAATTTTAATGGTTCATATTATGAACAGATAAAATAATAAGTATCTAGTAAAATTATTTCATTTAAATTTATCCACTCAAAAATTAATGAATTAAAAAATGCCTTGGTTTTAAGACTAAATCAATGTAGGGGTCAGGGACTCAGGGTTTTGATTATGGTGAATAAATTACATTGCCCCCCCTAGTTTTTTATCCAGTTACGCCACTGCTAATAGTTATGATAGGTACTATTTATATATATTTACATTTTACAAGGAATATTATAATAAATTACAGTATAAGATACTGCAATGTCAATGTGTCAGACATCAGTGTCATGAAACCATATAATATTGTAAATTCCTTGCAAAATGCAACCTACAAAATATATATGCCATTATCAAATTACTCATTTTAGTAGGTACTCATTACTCAAGGGATTATTTAAATAATTTGTTCACAAATAATGTTAACTATACATGAAATACTCAAATACWTACGTAGATAAAATTTTATATAATTTAGGCATGAGAGTTAGCACATCACTGGCTGCGTAAGCAAGCATATCCTTAGATAATGGCCTCCGTAGCCAATACCTTTGATCTTTTTTATTTTGAGTTCTCATTTGATCCTTGGATGAGTTTATTGGCAAACCATACATTTCACATATGGTATTTAGACTAAGATTTTTTGCTTTATAAACAGGCTGTCCCGTTTCTTGAAATTGAATAATAGCAATGGCAGCCTAAAATTGAAAAAAACATGTTATAATATACTCAAATATTTTAATTTATCTATTTTATGGCAAAAATCTAATTGTAAAATATAGTTGCATGTTGTAAGAGTTATAAACTATTATCAATAGGTACTTAAAAATATTTCATACAATAGTGCAACAGAATTTTTCATATTTTTTTTTTCAATATCTTGCCATAGTAAACTAAAATATGTAGGTATTTAAAATCATAAAATATGGCTTTAAACTAAAAAATAAAAGTATTCAAGAATATGCAGTAAAAATTTAACAAAATTCATATAAATTCACTCGACATTTGATTCTAATCCCATATCATTGTAATTGCCCAAATTATAGGTTTGGAAATCCAATTTAATGGAATTTATTTTAATCTAGAAGGTTCAAACGACAGTTTAACAAAATATTTTAATTTTATGAGAATCATAACCATACACCATTATTTGCACAAATCAGATCTAGACACGAACATTCAAGAATGTAATACAATTTAAGCAGATCAATTTATTATACCACGCGAAACAAAAAACTGTTACAGGTTGCACACAATAAATTAAATTATTTCATTTATTCTGTGCCAGTTGTTTTGCRCTATAAAAATATTGTGCAGGCGTAGGACAAATTAGAATAGGYTAGTTGAAATAGATTAACAATAGGTAGTATATTATATGCTACGACAACACATAACTCGACTTTAAACTTATAATTTATATATATATATTTTAAAGAATATCACTACCGGACTCACCTGAATATCGAACACGTTTTTCATTGCAATGCCAAACTGGTTGTACAGGTTCAAACTTTCATTTCGACAATCATTGATCACCTGTAAATATTTGAAATTTTTATATTTTATACTTTTGCAAAAGATTATATTTAATTAATAATTTTTTGAAAGTAATTATATTATGTTTTAATTTAAATCAATTTTTATAACGGTTTAACTTTTTTTTTCTGTTTACGGTAGAGAGATTTGAAGGGAACCTGCTTTTAAAATTTATAATGTTAGGTATGGAAAGAAAAATAATTTTTTTTAACTTTCGACATTTTGATGAAATTTGTCAACATTTGAACTTTAACTTAATACATAAAAAACGCACACATCATTCTTATATCAATACTCGTACATTTATTCGCAATGTTAAGAATCTATAAGTTGAGCGTAAATCCACAATAGCTTTTTATGAGCGTCTGAAGTTAGGATTTTGGTAAAAAGTACAACAGTTTGCAAAATATTTTGAGTTAGAAATTCATAAAAATTTTATTTTCATATCCTAGATTTGAAAATTCAATACAAGATTCTTCATAAGTTTGTCTACCTTTATCAAATAAAAATGTCAACCGGAAATACGAATCAAATTTTAATGAACGTTTGAAGTTCATATTTTTACAACATAATTGATATTCGCTTGATATTTCATAGAACGAATATATTATTTTCTTGTTGTAACTCAAAAATGAATAATCAAGTAGATACTTGGAATTAACACGAAATGTTTATTATACTATACTTGATAATTTTTTTTTAATATTTTGGCTTTTTTTGAGTAGATTACGAACACTTTCAACTTTATCAAATCGAAAACGGAAAAATTATTTTTTAGTTAACAATTTACATCGTGGCAATTTCTTTTAGTAAAGGATTGAAAATTTAAGAAAGAGTGCACGTAAGTAGTTTATTCTGTAACCATCAAAATCTAACATGAAAACAGTTTATTTTTAATATAGTTATTTAATTTGTATCGATCTTAAGCATCGGAAACTATGGCCAAAGCTCTGAGTGGTCATCTTTTCGGGAACAATCGACGCCGCCAATGACCGCAAATTGACCTCATAATACGTTGTGACTAAGGCAGTGAGTAAGGCCAACTATCAATCAACCCAAAGTACCTTTAGTTATATAATGATGTAATTCAAAAATATTATACATGCTAGAAACTTTTCGAGGAGGAATATTATATTTTATACATATAATGATAATTTCAAATGCATTTTTTGGGCAAACATTAATTAAAATTTTTTTTTTTGTAAGGAGAACCCGCGGCAACATAGGCCATTGGGTGTGGGGTGGTACGGTAGGGGTTATTTTTGTATGTTTGTTTGTAGGTTTTTAAGTGGGTAGGGTTGTAAGTTGTAACACGTGTTTGTGTATGTGTGGCAAGGATATGTTGCTAAAAATCACGGGTGGTCACCCATCCGGGAGCTAGCAACAGCGGCCGGTACGTACGCTCAGTGCGTTTCCGCAGATTGAGCGTACGACCGCGCCTCACCAAGCCACATTAATTTAAATTACTACAGTACTAATGTCTAATATTAAAACGAATTACTTTAAACACAATAACATTATCAAATATACTTATTTAGTAGGTAATTTTAGATTCTGAGCGGAGC